ATTTAGACCAGGATGGGTGTAGGGGGCACAACCAACCCCTATGGGTGTAGGGGGGCACAACCAACCCCTACGGGTGTAGGGCTACAGCCCAGCCCAATGGGTGTAGGGGCTACAGCCTGACCCCCGTAGAGGTGTAGGGCTACAGCTTGACCCCTGTACAGGCGCAGGGACTACAGCTTGATCCGTGTTTGGGTGTAGAGATTACGGCTTGACACCCATAGAGGTGTAGGGATACAGTTTGGCCCTTATACGGTGTATGGCTACAGGTTGATCCCTATACGGGTGTAGGGATACAGCTTGATCCCTATATGGGTGTAGAGATCACAGCTTGACACCCATAGAGGTGACTTGAGCCTTATATGGGTGTATGGCTACAGGTTGATCCCTATAGGGGTGTAAAGATCACAGTTTGACCTCATAGAGGTGTAGGGATACAACTTGACCATTATACGGGTGTATAGTAACAGGTTGATCACTATACAGGTGTAGGGATACAGCTTGATCCCTATATGGGTGTACAGGTCACAGCTTGACCCCATAGAGGTGTAGGGATACAGCTTGACCCTTATATGGGTGTATGGCTACAGGTTGATCCTTATACAGGTGTAGGGATTACAGCTTGATCCCCAGGTGTAGGAATTCCTGCAGGTGTAGGAATACAGCTTGACTCCTATACAGGTATAGAAGCTACAGCTTGACCCCCATACAGGTGCACGGACTACAACTTGACCGCTATAAAGGTGTAGGGATACAGCCTGATCCCTATACAGGTGTAGGGACTACAACCCGAACGCTGTACAGGTATAGGAGCTACAGCTTGACCGCTATAGAGGTATAGGGACTACAGCTTGACCCCCATACAGGTTTAGGGATACAGCTTGAGTCCCATACAGGTGTAGGGGCTACAGCCTGACCCATATACAGGTGTAAGGGCTACAGGTTGACCCCTATATGGGTGTAGAGGTTACAGCTTGACCCTCATACAGCTGTAGGGCTACAGCTTGATCCCTATACGGGTGTAGGGACTAGAACCTGAACCCTATACAGGTATAGAAGCTACAGCTTGACCGCCATAGAGGTATAGGGACTACAGCTTGACCCCCATACAGGTGTAGAGGCTACAGCTTGACCCCTATATGGGTGTAGAGGGTGCCTGTTGACCCCCATACAGGTGTAGGGGCTACAGCCTGACCCCTATATGGGTGTAGAGGGTGCCTGTTGACCCCCATACAGGTGTAGGGGCTACAGCTTGAGCCTCATACAGGCACAGGGGGTACCGGTTGGCCCCCCAACAGGCGCCCGGTTCGGTGGTTGTCCCGGGATGGGGGTACAGGCCACAGTGCGGCCTCGGGAGCTGCCCAAGAGGAACAGGTTGACACCCCATGTACAGCCGCCCGGCCCGGGGTACCCCAACAGCGTTACCAGGTACAACCCACCACCTTGGGGTGTACAGCGTGAGCCCAAGAGCCGCAGGTTGACACCCCTTGCACAGCCACCCAGCCTGGGGTACCCCAACAGCGTTACCGGGTACAACCCACAGCGCGACCAGGGGTACCCCAACAGCGTTAGCGGGTACAACCCAC